CAAAGAACCTTCTTTTATGCAGGTTTCCCTGAGATAGGACCACCCAGAGGGTTTTACACAACAACCAATAATAAACGTACATTACAGAAACACTCCCAGCAATTACACACAAAAATCCTCCCCTCTGCCTGTGATCTAATTATGGTACACAATGGGTTAACATAATTAAACACAGGCAGTAAAAATACAGTTTTTATCCATACACTGTAACTTTAAAACTACACATCCAATCTTCATAACAATTACATATTATTAATCAGTGTAACGGACCGTTTTGCACAAAAGGGAAAAAAAACGCTTAGACGATAATCCCCCTTTCAGAGACAGGCACAGCTACTGTGGAATCACCAAAACTCACGAACCGCCAATAAGTGAATGCTCCAAACTCCCGAACGGCATACAAGGGAATAAGGTAGCACTTCAAATAAACGAACAGGAACCATACAAATAGCTGCTAGCAGGCGAACAGGAAAAGCTTCCAAGCGGCTTACACTCCTGACAATCAGTCCTTAGCAGCATACAGTAAATCCCCCCAAAGACGAGACAAGGCTCCGTGTTGAGGGTCAAGCAGTGGTCTGTTTAATGAGGGCTACCTGCCCGGCTTTTATGCAGGTCTCCCACCTGGTGGACACTCCCCTAGGGGACCAAATGGGAGACTGTGACAAGGGACAGACAAGTATACAAATAGGACACACAGTCACAGTATATTCCCACAATGCATCCTGGCTTCCTCCCCTCTGCCCTGGGAGATAATTGGGAAGTAACTCAATTATCTCCCAAGACAAAGGAAAAACTCCATTACACACGTGGGGACACAAAACCAGCATTATACTTTAAAATGCACAAAGTAACATTTACTACATAAAACACAGACATGTAACATATCCCCAGATAGCTCAGGTCTGAGTGCGCATTATTAAGTGAATGGCACTCAGACCACACGAATACAGTTTAATCGCCATGGAGCCAAAGTCTTTACAGTCAGTTTCATACGAATGGGCTCCATGGGATTCCTATCTGGTGTATAAGACATTCAACAAAAATACCGAACACCGGGCCATTCGTGCACTTTAACCGAACAAGAAGGGAGGTCGGCGGCTTCAGCGGTGTTCGCGCAAAACTGTGTCCAATTTTAGTTCCATGAAAATAGAGGCGAACACCGCTGTTCATTCGTATGGTTTAAAATGGCCGCGACCTCGTGTTCGGGATACGAATGGCGGCCACCCAGCGTTCATCAATTAAGCTGCGGTTAACCGCAGCTTCAGGGAGGTTAATTGCCGGCACACTCCAGCTCCCAGGTGGTCCAGTCATTCGTACGGTTGTTCGGTAGATTGAAACTACCGAACAACCGGCAGAAAAGCACGAATACAGCTTTTCTGCATGCAAAAATAAAGTCTTTTAAAAGGGGGCCATAGTCCAAAGGCAGCAGGCGAGCAACCAGGCTTCTCCAATGCAATGTGGCGAGATTGGTCTCGTCACAATCAGCACACTTAAAACATAAACATAACCAAAAATCAGCCAAATCCATCCAGGGGTTAAAAAGTTAGCTGGAGGTCCCTTAATGACCGACCGCAAGCACATTTTCCTGCCCAAAACAGTTCCATAGATTTGGGCTGTGCGGTTGGTCTATTTCAGGCTGAAAAAACGACTAAGTCCCATCGCCGAATGGGACTTAGTCTCTGCAGCTCTAAAACCAGTAGGGGAGAAGGTAGAGCTCAGCGGTGTTCGCGGAAATGTGTAGCTGATTTTAGTTCCATGAATTTGGCTACACATACCGCTGACCTCGTTCGCATTAACAAAGATGCCCGTTGTCAGCATTGTCAATTAAGCTGCGGTTAACCGCAGCTTCTGGGAGGTAAATTGCCTGCACACTTCCACTTCTGGGTGGTCTGCCTGTGTGGTACTTGGTTCAGTAAGCCCCATTTACTGAACCAAGTGGGAAATAGCCAGGCACAAAGGGTTTTAACCAGGTCTGGGGACACAGGGGACACCGTCTTAAAGGGGCAGTGTCCCAAACAAGTCTGGGGACACCGTCTTAAAGGGGCAGTGTCCCAATCTTCCTGACGCCCCAAAAAGGTGCTTAAAGGGCCAGCACCAGTCCCATAAAGAGTTCATAAACCCCAATATGCCCACCGACAGTCTTAAAGGGCCATACACACCAAATAAAAGTGCATACAGTTTCACGGTCTCCCAAGGGCCATAGTCATGTGGAAAGAGGCTGGCAAACAGGCTTCTCCACAACCCAGGGAAGCAGGGCAATTTGCCATTTAAAGGGCCAGTTACAAATAGCAGTTTGTAACACCCACCCTCAACCACCTCCAACCCTGAGCCATCTCCCACCCTCAACCAGCTCCCACTCTGAACCATCATCTCCCAATCTGAACCAACACTGCGTTGTGTTTTATTTTATTATTTCAATACCGCTTCTTCAAAAGCTCACAAATACTGCTGCCACAGGTTCCGTACATTTACCAGTCCTTGTACCTGGTTATACAGGTGCAAGAATACACCAATCTGGTTCTTTCCAGAGAGTGACTTTTATCTAGAAACATTCCCTGGACAGATGACACTGTAGATTTTGTTCATTACTAGCAATGCAGCTTACAGCAGTCCATTCACACGAACTGCAGGTTCTGGACAATAAGGTTCCCTCTGGACACTAGTGACAATTCAGCTCCTAGTGATAACCTCGCCACACTGAAGACAATCTGTCCTTCACGCACTCACTTACACACAGTGCCCCCTCACTATCTGCACACAGACTCATATCTATATGCCAATTTATTAACTAATTTAACCAAGTGGAATGTCCCAGGAACTACCAGAAAATGGAAAATGTATCAAAATGTGGAACTGCTTGGAATATTTGCTGTTTGTAGATTTACGTAGACAAGGGGTTAGACTGGAAATGGATGATGTGTAAAAATGTACTACTGCTTTACTGTTGGCAACAGCTATGTGGACAATTATGTCTAACTAACTATTTCTCAACACCTAACACTTGACTATTAAATGCACACACACACGGTGGGCCAAAATTCAGAGTAGGGTTTGAGGAGTAAATAAAGTTTTTATTGCTGAACCAGTTTCAATAATATCACATACAATGACTGCGTGTGGAGATTTGTTTGACTAGGTACCGAATGAGCTCCATTTGCCGCCTCACAAAGTTGAGCTCTTTCGATTGCATTGTTTATAACATTAGTTAATGTTTAAGGCTCTAGTGCTCGAATTTCTGCCCAATAACTTTCTGCGAGGTCACCCCACACCAGGGTGCAACTGGCGCCGATTATTTATCCGTGGATTTTCTGTACCCTAGAAATGACAGTTTTGCTTATTGATGAAGCCATTTAAATTAAAATGAGCTTCATTAGACATAAGTTGATGTATAAATTCATTGTTTTCTCTGGCTAATTCATTGTTCCTTTGTGAAATTACCAATGATGAATCTCCCAAGACTAGGTTATAATTTGTACCTGCAACAAAAATATCGAACTACTAACATATAAGCTATTTATCTGTCATATCCTACTCTGAGTCTTCAATATTGTTCAACAGAATTATACTAATCACTGTCCAGGTGTATTCCTATTTTAAAATATCGCTGTGCTATGTGTTCAATGTATTTCACTGTGTTTTAAATTACTTTTGTCATTGTCAAAGCATGGCCAATTCTCCCAAGCCTGCAAACAGATTCTCAGTGTGATGAGACCAACCTCGCCACATTGCATTGGAGAAGCCTGGTGCCTTTGGATTATGGCCTCATGTTAAAAGCCTTCTTTTCCCCTGCAGAAAAGGCTTATTCATGCCTTTCTGCCCTGAGGTCGGTAGATTCAATCTACTGAACTAACGCACGAATGACTGGACCACCTGGGAGCTGGAGTGTGTCGGCAATTAACCTCCCAGAAGCTTCGGTTAACCGCAGCTTAATTGACGAATGCTGGGTGGCCGCCATTCGTAAACCGAACACGAGGTTGCGGCCATTTTAAACACGCGAACGCACAGCGGTGTTCGACGCCCAACTCATGGAACGGAAAACGGACACTTATTTGCGCGAACACCGCTGAGCCGTCAGCCTCCTTGCTTCTGCATTCGGTCATTTAACCGGATGCCTGTTCATTCGGTAGTTTAAACTGTATGAACAGCATTACCCCAGATAGCCATCCCGTGGAGTCTATACGTATGGAGAACAGACTTTGTGAACACTTTAACTCCACGGCGATTGGACTGTGTGCATAGGATCTGAGCGCTATTCGGTACTTTTGTGCTCTCAGATCTAAGCTAGGTAGAATGTATATGTTTTGTGCAACAGTTGTAACTTTATACATTTTTATGTCTATTACTGCCATGTGGTTAATGGAGTTTTGCCCCTGTCCTGGGAAATAATTGGATTACTTCCCAATTATCTCCAGGACAGAGGGAGGGAAGTTAGGATGCATTGTGGGGAGGTTTTACCTCTGTGTGTCTGTCATTGGTTCATGTCTGTCCTTTGTCACAGTCTCCCATTTGGTCCCTTAGGGGAGTGTCCACCAGGTGGGAGACCTGCATAAATACTGGGCAGGTAGCCCTCATTAAACCAGACTACTGCTTGACCGTCAACACGGAGCTCTGTCTCGTTCTTGGGGGGATGTACTGTATAGTGACAGAGACTGATTGCTAGGAGTGTAAGCCGCTTGGGTGCTTTTCCTATTCGTCTGCTAGCAGCTATTCGTGAGGTTCCAGTTCGGGAGGTTGGAGTGCTATTTTGTATGCAGTTCGGGAGTTTGGAGCATTCCCTTACATGCAGTTCGGGAGTTTGGTGTTCTGCAGTAGCTGTGCCTGTATCTCTGGAAGGGGAAGATCTACTAAACGGTTTAACCCTTTTATGCTGAGGGTGCCGTTACACTCAGGTACTGATGGAAAGCCAGATGGTCTACACACAGCATTAGAAAATTATTAAATACATGTTGAACACCAGGTCAGTGACATTGATAATCCAGGTTACATGGTTTACAGAATGGCTACTTACTCTCAAAGTTACTGACAATCTGCTGTAGACAGAGCTCGCTGAGTGGGGGTACCAAGGCCAACGTCCAGCTGAAGTCCTCAGTGATGACCCGCCGCATCTTTCTAAGGTCAGCAGCCGGGTTTCTTTGGAAGATGGGCAATGGAGTAGACCCCGAAACATTGCTGTCTGAAGGTAAGTCAGGCATTGTGAGGAGGGTGTGGGTATGTGTTCTGAGCGTTTCTGAGGAAGTAAGAGATACAGGTATGAAGAAAAGCATACATGTGCGAGTGATGGGGCTGGGAGTCTGGGGGAGTGATGGGGCTGGGAGTCTGGGGGAGTGATGGG